TATGCTCCTCGGAACATACCTTAAGAAAGTCTGTCCTAAGAGCTTTCTGTCCAGCTACTCTCTCTTGATGCTTCCCAGGAAAAACCCAAACGAGTGCCCTTCATTTAGCAGTAGCAGCAGAAGAGCAATAATAGTTAACTCTTGAATTACAATAGATGTCTCCTCCTAATCTAAATGACTTAAGGTCACAGCTTCATTTGGTCCAGCCATATTACATTCTATAAAAACACCAAGATTCACAAGGAAGCTTGAGATAGGGACCGATTTCCCTCACCAGCTCTGATCACTAGGCTGTGACGGATTTAGTTCTCTAACTAGCAAGTAATTTCTTCTTTGGCAGGAGAGATTGGAAGTAAAAAGGAAAAGAGGAGTGAGCAAAGGGAGGTGATAATAGATGGTTTGTACAATGTGGGCTAGAAATACAGCTGTCCAAAGAGAACTGAAGCTGAGTTCTTCCACCACACATCTAAAGATTCATATCGGGGTCTAAACAAGGTATGTCAGGTGGCTTAATTAGAAACTCCTGGACTATGAGTTTCACACACTCATGGGTGGGCCAATGGCCACTTTATTATTTAGGCTTCAGCAAAATGAGATAATAGCAATTATCCAAAAGGATTTGGATTGAAAAAAAAAAAAAACCAACCACCTATTATCTTGTGCCTTATAATAAAATAAAGCCCTGCTTTTAAACACAGCGTATCACTGTTGTTTTTGAGTTTAAATATTAAGGAGCACATTTTGTTAATGACCAAAACAATACTGATTGTTTTAGGGGGCTCAGTGAACATTTAACCTACCCTTACTCTAGGCAGTGCGCTGAAGGAACACACTGCCTAATGCCCCAGGATGGACATTAGGTAACTACTTAATGGAATTTTAATTTTGTTTCATTATTATTAGTAATTGATGTAATTCTGGGGGCGCCCGGGTGGTGCAGTCGGGTAAGCTTCTGACTCTTGGTTTTGGCTCAGGTCATGATCTCAGGGTCTTGAGATCGAACCCAGCCATCGGGCTCTGTGCTCAGTGCAGACGGAGTCTGCTTGAGACTCTCTCTCCCTCTCGCTCTGCCCCTGTGTGCTCGCACGCTCTCTCTCTCTCAAATAAATAAAATAAAATCTTTTAAAAAACTGATGTAATTCTGATTATGTTGGAAGCTGGAGGTATCCTGTCAGTCATCCTTTCAGGGTGGTGGTATTGCCCTGCCCTGTTTAATCAGAGGCTTCTAGAAGAGGTGGGCTCAGGTGTGATTTAAAATGAAAGAAGATAGGTGTTTAATGAATTTCAATTTAAAAAAAAATGAAATCATGTTCAAATTGAAAACGGGTACGGAAACCATCTGCCCTAAGCCTTTCATGCTGCTGCCGAGAAAACTGAGGCCCATGGGAATTAAAGGCCATACTCAAAGCCATACAGCTTGTTTCTGTTGTTTGAGGCATTATTAGGCTAAAAGACCTCACAGGCCTAACTTGAAAAAGATGGAAGGGTGCCTTGGCCCTGCTCTCACAGTTGTCCCCCCAGATTTCATCTAATTCCAACCCTTGTTCCACACAGGAAGTAGTTCCTGTTTTCTACATATTGAAGGTGTGTAAACGTAAAAGTCTTTACAGGTGAGGTACCTAGGACCAATACCAGTTTAAGTAAAGACCTACATGTTTTGCTGGGACAGTGAAGTGTAGTAGCTATCCCAGGGTAAAAAATCCAGGACAGAAAAGGCTCCGTCCTCCAGCATTCCCCCTGTCTACCTGGAACTCAGGGCTGAGACCCTCAGACCGGCCCTGCAGTATTAGCTCAGAACTCCAGAGCAGAGCCTGTGATTTACTTTAGGGCTCTGGGCAAGTTCCTTTAACCTGGCTGTTCTTCCCCTCTGTGTGTTTGTAAACCAGAGAGATGATGCTGATATCTCCCTGCACTGCTCCGTCAGAGACACCGTGTGAAATTAGCTCCTGTTTGGGAAGGTTTTAAGCACACATTCCGCCTCCCTGCTAATATGATTACTAGCACTTTCTTGTAAGAAAGGGCCAACTTCTCACCCCTTTCTTCCTTTAAAAACAGAACAAAGGGTGTCTTTTCTTGTCTCCCTATGGCCAAAACATTGTTGCTTTAGTGGTTGGTTACCTCCTCAGAAGGTCAGTTTGCTGAGTTTAAGTACTCCCAAATAAACAACAATAGCAACAAAAATGATCTCTGTGGTGGTTCTTAAGAAGGTTTCTGAGTTATAATAAGCAGGCAGGCTTTCCTAACTGTAAGAACATGGCCCCAGCCTGTCTCCATGCCACCTCTGTCCTCAAAAGTGTTAGGCCTGGGGTGGGAGGGGGGCCATCTTCCTGAGGGTCATCGCCAAGGCTTTCCACAAGAAACACTGAAAACAATGTTTTGGAAGGAAAGTCACCTTTCAATAGCCAAAGAGGTACCTCTTAGAGCACACAGTTCTGCGTACAGCCTGTTTCTCACTGTTTGGAAATCCTTTAACAGTTTATGGAAGGCCACTCTTTAAAGCAATCCAACAGCTCCTTTTTCCATAACCTGATTTTAGAGGTGTTTCATTATCTCTAATTACTCGGGGTAAATGGTGATTACTCAGTGTTTTAATCATCAGTTTGGGCAGCAGTTACTCTAAACTCGGGGAAGCCCAGACTCCCATGGGTATTTTTGGAAGGTAAGGCGACTAGTCGGTGCATGCTTTCTAGTACCTCTGCACGTGGTCCCCAGGTGAGCCCCGGCCGCTTCCCGGAGCTGGAGGCAGCATGGTCCCGGCCCGGGCAGCAGCTGCGGACTCAGGCGCAGCCCGGGCTTCCGGGACCCGGGCCTGCGACGCGAGGCCCGGCGGCTGGAGGGGAGGATGTGGGCGGGGCTCCCATCCCAGAAAGGGAGGCGAGCGCGGGCGGAGGGAAGAAGGGAGGGGCTGCCGGGGACGAGGAGGAGGAAGGAAAGAAAGAAAGAGAGCGAGGGAAAGAGGGGGGAAGGAGAAGATGCACGAGGGCAGAGGAGGAGGGAGGGAGGGAAGGAGAGCGGAGCCCTGCCCGGAAGCTAGGTGAGTGTGGCATCGGAGCGGAGGGACGGGAGCCTGAGACGCTGCGGCTGCTCGGGGCTGAGTATCTCGCCTCTCTGATGGGATTCCCGTCCGCGCCGTCTCGAGCCTGCAGCGCCCCAGTCCTCGGCCCTTGCCCAGGTTCACTGCAGCCGTTCAGAGGTCCCCAGGAGCTGCTGCTGGCGAGCCCGCTACTGCAGGGACCTATGGTGAGCAAGGCTACCTGGCGAGGGGTGCCGGGCAGAGGGGGCCGGGGAGCATCCCTGGGGGGAACAGCAGGGGTGCTCAGCCTTTGACCACAGCTAAAGGTGGCCTATTTTTTCTCCAACGGTGGTGCTAGAGGTAGGGATGCTGGCGCTGAAGGACACTTCCACATCTGCTACCGCCTCTACCCAGGCCACTTTCTCCGTCCGGCGGCCCCGGGCGATTGCCACCTTTGGTAGGTTCGGGGCAGAAGAGATGGGAAGAAGAGGAGCCCTTAGTTGGGGGTGGCTGGGAAAGACTGCGAGGTCTTCAGCAGAACGCGTTGCGGGGGCACTGGCGTACGCGATCCCCGGACAGGAGGGCCGGGAGAGAAAGGAGTGTCGGCTCCGAGGTCCGGACAGCGTGAGGGGGCCGAGGGACAGCGAGGTGGAGGAAAGAACACCTAACCAGGGCTGGTTCTGCCGCCGGGAGCGCGGTCCTGCTGCCTCCGGAGCCTGCGCGCCGCCCGAGGGGAGTGTCACCCGACCCGGCCCCCAGCCCGCCGGAGCCCCTGAGAGCACGCGAACTGAGGCTGCACGACGCGCCTTATCCACAAGCTGTTTTCATGAACTTGCAGCATCCAAGGAGCCTCTCCCCTATCATTTTCCTGGTGTAGGGTCTGTAGGGACGATGGTTGGGATGCCTGGCGCCCGGGCACGCGTCTTCCTGCGGTGTCGTGGCCCATGGGGAGTCGCTGGCGAGACGCACTGCGGACCGACGCTCATACTGGTCCTCCCAGCGCAGAGCCGACCAGCAAGTGTCCCGGGATTCCCGGGTCCCTGCGGACCCCTCCTCGCGGGAGCTGGGCCCGAGGCCTCAAACGCTTCCTGGGCACCGCTTAGGTGGATGGACTGTGAGGATCGCAGTGTGTGGGCTGAAAGCTTTGTGAGACGTTAAAACCCCCCAAAACATAGACTTGGTAAACTGAGGCCACCTCTGGGCAAACTTCGGCGTCGGGAGAAGACTCTGGTGGAGAAGTAAAGGACAAGCGCCCCGAGTTGCATCCCTGCCATCCCCTCCCCCCCAAGAAAAAGTTCTGCAGACGAACGTCCTTTTGGGCTTTTGTCTTTTTTAATTAAAGAAAAAAATGGGGGGGGGAATTGCGTGTTTAGAGATGAATCCTACGGAATCCGAAATTGAAACACAACGCGCTCTCCGTCCAGCCTCCGGGTTTTAGCGCCGCGCGCTCCCGCCGCCGCCCGGGGAGATTCCTAGGGGCAGAGGGTAGTCCGGGGATCCCGGGCACCCGCCCCTTCCACGGGCCCTTCGCCCCGCGGGGACTGGCTCTTCTCTGTCTGCTTTTGCCGTTTCTACAGCTCCTCCCATGGGGCATTTTTAGGGTTCCAGGCGTCTGAAAAAAGCCCCTCTTCGCTCTCCCAGCCTTTTCGCAGTCCTTGCCAGCGGTGGCGCGGGAGCGGGAAAACCGTAGAGCCGCTCAAGAAACGGCGCGGCTGTCCGGCGGCGCCGACCGTCGCGCAGGGGCGCCCGCGGCCTCCACACCCCGGCCGGCGGTGTGGGGCGGCGCCGGGCAGCCGGGGCTCGCCGGGAGGGCTAAGCGCTTGATTCTTTACTCTCCCTCAAACGCTTCCCGCGAGTGCCCTCAAGAAGAAAACCAAGTTTGTGAGGGAGAGAGGCGGGCAACCTGAGCCCTCGATCTCTGAAGCGACCCGAGGCTGGAACTTGAAAGAGCCTCAAGGAAGGGAGGGCGGGTGCAGTGGCCTTGGGAGCGGGAGTCTGGGGTTCGGGACCCCGGGGCGGGCTGGGGCCTAGGCAGAATCGCGCGGGGCAGGTTTTTGAAAAGGCCCCCGTGCAGAACCACCCATGCACGTAGCATCTTCCGTTAGAGTAAGGACATCCCGGTAATTCCTTGAGCTGTGGGTTGGTTAAGATTCTTGAAGGAATATCTGCTGCAACTCTGCAGCTGGTGCAAAGGAGGAAGGGGGTGGGGGAAGGAAGTGGCGGGGGTAGGAGTGGTGGTTTCAAAAATAAGACAATCTGGAGAAAGAGAGGGAGAGACGCAGACACAGAGGTCGAGCGCAGGCCGAAAGCTGTTCACGGTTTTCTCGACTCCTGGGAACGCGGTTGGGATTTCCTTTCTGCGCCGGGTCGGGAGTTGTAAAACCTCAGCGACATTAAGACCCGAAACTTGGGGTGCGCCCTTTCCGCAGCGACGTCTCCTTTTGAGTCCGCCCCTCCGTCTTGAATGGCTCGAGGACCGCTTTCTTTAGGGATTTGCTTTGCTCGGAGTGGACCCCGCGGCCGACGCGGTGCGGATTCTCTCCGAAATGGAAGCGCAGAAAATAGCCCAGCGGCCGCTCCCTCCCCACTTTCCCACACCGATCTCCGCCTAACACCTCCCCCTCCGGCCCGGTGCGTGACAGGGGCGGCAGCTTTTGGCTAGGAGCTCGAGCGCCAGCCCGGCTTGTCTGAGCACTCGCAGGCATTCGCCAAGGGGTGACTGGCTGTCGCTGCGAGCAATATTTGGTCTCGCGGAGACCCCGGGGAGGAAGTGGCGGGGAGCGCGCGCGCGCGCGCGTTTGTCTGTCCCTCAGCGCTTTCCTTTTTAAGTGCCCCTGGGTTGGTGAGGCTTTGAGCTGCTGAGACGCCGCCGTCCCCGCTCCCGGCCCCATTTGAGCCGTGTTCGCGCTGGAGGCGCAGCCCCTACAGTGCGCCCCAGGTCCTCCGGCTTTAGGCCGCTGGCGCGGGGGCCCGGCCCGTGGCACCGAACGTCGCAGGTAGAAGCGAGGACCGCGTCCTCCGCGCACTGCGCCCGGGGACCCGCCGGGGGCTGCGCGGAGCCTGGCGCAGAGCTCCTCCCAGACCGCTGGCGGCTCAGGCGGCCGGCGCGGGGGTTGGACTCTCCTGGAGGGGGCGGGGCCGCGGGGGGAGGGCGCGCGGGCCCTTTCGCCGCCCGCCGCGGGAAGGGCGGGCTCCTCCGTGCGCGGGGCGGGGTTTCTGCGTTCACGTGACTCAGAGGGGCTGGAAGAAAAACAGAGCCAGTCTGCGCCAGAGTCTCATTATATTCAAATATTCATTTTAGGAGCCATTCCGTAGTGCCATCCAGAGCAACGCACTGCCGCAGCTCCTCTGAGCCTTTCCAGCAAGTTTGTTCAAGATTGGCTGTCAAGAATCATGGACTGTTATTATATGCCTTGTTTTCTGTCAGTGAGTAGACACCTCTTCCTTCCCCCCTCCTGGGATTTCACTCTGCCCTCCCCACCCCTGCTCGCCTTGTGTCCCTCCCGTCGGACCTTTTTTTCCAGAGTTCACACTCCGCTTTCTGGCAGCGCTGTCGCTTTCTTCTTGGCCGGGCAGCCGCGGAGCCGTGGAGCTCTGAGCGTACCGGTTTTGTTTAAAGTTCTGCTTGCTCCCACTCGCACTCTCAGATCGTGTGCCTTGCAAGAAAGGGGAGCAAGAGGGGGCTAAAGAGATGAAAGGTCTGCAGCCTGGGGTTGTACTTTCTGGGCAACCACACACACATACACACACACACTTAACTGGGAGAGCGCAGGGCCCCTTTGCTTGTTCCCAGCTGCTTGTCAAAACTCAGGTCTCTCTCGGAACCATCCCCACCCCCCCTCCACCCCCACCCCCACCCCCCCACCCCCCCTCCCCGCTTTCCTGGGAGTGAGTGAGCGGGCGCGATCAGATGCTTTTTGCTGGGCATTTCAAACTCATCAGCCACAGTAAAATAAACCGTCAAGCCACTCACTCGGTCAGCTCCCAGACCACGTTCTCGGTCTCAGCCTCTGGACCTCGCCGCCCTGTGTCTTCGCCCACCCTCCTGCTCCGAACCAGCTGGAAGTTGTGGAAGTTGGGCTCCGAGGGCGGAGGAAGAAGGAGGGTGGAGGAAGAGGGAGAGAGGCTGAAGGTCTGAAGTGGAGTGCGATGGCATTTTAGTTCTCCCTCCCCCACCCTTTTTTACCCCCTCAATGTTAACTGTTTATCCTTGAAGAAACCAAGCTGAGATCATGGCTCAGATAGCAGTTGGGACAAAAAAAGATTAACAGGATGGAGGCTATCTGATTTGAGGTTATTTGACTGTAAACAAGTTAGACCAAGTAATTACAGGGCAATTCCTACTTTCAGGCCGTGCATGGCTGCAGCTGGTGCTGGTGGGGGTGTGTGAGGGAGAAGACCCAAACTTGATCTTTCTGACCTGTTTTACATCTTGACCCTCCATCGCTGGCCTTATATGCATACGCAGAGACATCTCTATTTCTCTCTCGTTATTGGTGTTTATTTATTCTTTAACCTTCCACCTCCTCCCCCTCCCCAGAGACACCATGATTCCTGGTAACCGAATGCTGATGGTCGTTTTATTATGCCAAGTCCTGCTAGGAGGCTCGAGCCATGCTAGTTTGATACCTGAGACGGGGAAGAAAAAAGTCGCCGAGATTCAGGGCCACGCGGGAGGACGCCGCTCAGGGCAGAGCCATGAGCTCCTGCGGGACTTCGAGGCTACACTTCTGCAGATGTTCGGGCTGCGCCGCCGCCCGCAGCCTAGCAAGAGCGCCGTCATCCCAGATTACATGCGGGATCTTTACCGGCTCCAGTCTGGGGAGGAGGAGGAGGAAGAGCAGATCCACAGCATCGGTCTGGAGTATCCTGAGCGCCCCGCCAGTAGGGCCAACACCGTGAGGAGCTTCCACCACGAAGGTCAGTCCCTGCGGAGCGTCCCGGGCCGGGGAGGGCTAGTAGGGCTGGTCGGTGGGGCAGTGGAAGCCCTGGGGGGGGCGGGGGGGAAGAGTTCAGGTTACATCAAAGCCCCAAATCCTGGAGGCCAGGGAGCAGAGCTGCTTACCTCCAAGAGCTGTGGCTGAATTTATTTTTTGGAGACAGAGGGGAGGGGTTGGGGGGAAGGGTAATGACACCACTCAGACGTGGGCTAGCCCCTGCGGTGTGTTTTTGCTATATCAAAGCCTTTTTTGCCAGGTTTTCTGCCCGTTTTTTTCAAAGCACCTACTGAATTTAATATTACAGCTGTGTGTTTGTCAGGTTTATTCAATAGGGGCCTTGTAATCCGATCTGAATGTTTCCTAGCGGATGTTTCTTTTCCAAAGTAAATCTGAGTTATTAATCCACCAGCATCATTACTGTGTTGGAATTTATTTTCCCCTCTGTAACATGATCAACAAGGCATGCTCTGTGTTTCCAAGATCGCTGGGGAAATGTTTAGTAACATACTCGAAAGTTGAAGAAGGAGAGGGTAGTTGTGTGCATGTTTCCTCCTGCCTCTGCTCTGTTGGCCCCCCTTTTTCTTTATAACCACTTGTAAAGAAAACTGTGTACACAAAGCCAAGAGAGCTTTAAAAGGGGAGTCTGATGGTGGTGGAGTAAGGAGTTGACACATGGAAATTATTAGACATATAAAGGAGGTTGGGAGATACTTTCTGTCTTTGGTGCTTGCTGAATGCTCGCTAAGTTTTGCTGGCTTGCTAGCAGCCCATTTATCTGCTCCTTCAAATTAAAAGGTGTGCTTATTTCCTCAAATAGGCTTCCACTACGTAAGCAGAATTCAGCACTCATCACCCAAAGCTTCTTGACCGAAGCTATTTCTTGACTTTACGATTTCTCAAAAAAGTTAATGTGCTTTTATTTTTTTTTCTTTTCCTTTTTCTTTTTCCTCCTCGACTGTGCCTAGAACATTTGGAGAACATCCCAGGGACCAGCGAAAACTCTGCTTTTCGTTTCCTCTTTAACCTCAGCAGCATCCCAGAGAACGAGGTGATCTCCTCTGCAGAGCTTCGACTCTTCCGGGAGCAGGTGAACCAGGGCCCTGACTGGGAGCAGGGCTTCCACCGAATAAACATTTATGAGGTTATGAAGCCCCTGGCAGAAGTGGAGCCTGGGCACCTCATCACACGACTACTGGACACGAGACTGGTCCACCACAATGTGACACGGTGGGAAACTTTTGATGTGAGCCCTGCGGTCCTTCGTTGGACCCGGGAGAAGCAGCCAAACTACGGGCTGGCCATCGAGGTGACTCACCTCCATCAGACACGGACCCACCAGGGCCAGCATGTCAGGATTAGCCGATCGTTACCTCAAGGGAGTGGGGATTGGGCCCAGCTCCGGCCCCTCCTGGTCACTTTTGGCCATGATGGCCGTGGACATGCCTTGACCCGACGTCAGAGGGCCAAGCGGAGCCCCAAGCATCACCCGCAGCGGGCCCGGAAGAAGAATAAGAACTGCCGGCGCCACTCACTTTATGTGGACTTCAGCGATGTAGGCTGGAATGACTGGATTGTGGCCCCACCAGGCTACCAGGCCTTCTACTGCCATGGGGACTGTCCCTTTCCACTGGCTGACCACCTCAACTCAACCAATCATGCCATCGTGCAGACCCTGGTCAACTCCGTCAACTCCAGTATCCCCAAAGCCTGTTGTGTTCCTACCGAACTGAGTGCCATCTCCATGCTGTACCTGGATGAGTATGACAAGGTGGTACTGAAAAATTATCAGGAGATGGTAGTAGAGGGATGTGGGTGTCGCTGAGATCAGGCAGTCCTTGGGGACATAACACGTTCCCGTCCACTCACCCACACACTACACAGACTGCTTCCTTATAGCTGGACTTTTATCTTAAAAAAAAAAAAAAAAAAAGGAAAAAAAACCTAAACATTCACCTTGACCTTATTTATGACTTTACGTGCAAATGTTTTGACCATATTGATCATATATTTTGACAAAATATATTTATAACTACATATTAAAAGAAAAAATAAAATGAGTCATTATTTTAAAGGTACACTGTTCCTTTTCTCTTTAATCCTTTTTCCTTCTGCCCCCATCTCTTTTGAATGAGATTTTTTTCCTGTTGAAGGGCTGGGGGCAGGATGGAAGTCAGAGGGTGGTAACTGGAGGTGGTTAAGTTGGAGGGACAGGAAGTAAACTGATGGTAGAGAGATGGTAATTGCCAGGATGAATTGTTTTCCATTTCTATTTAATGTTAACAAGGACGCAGTATCCTCTCCCATCTGGATGACACATGCCTTGGAGAAACAGTGAGATGAAAGGAGGAGGCCAGATTAAAGACTCAGTTTGGGGCTCCTTGTACATCTTCTGTTTTTGCTCACCTGTTAGAGGTGCGTCCCAGCTGAGGGTGATTGATAGAGTCTCAACTCTAGGGAATAACTCCCATCACAGCTTTTATGATACCCTAGGGTGTCTCCAGTCATGATAGGCACCAGTGTTGTATTTTCAAACCAAAACTGATTTGCACGTGTTTGTGTGTTTGTGTGTATGTGTACAGGATTTGGGGGTGGTGGTGAAGTGGCTTTTATTCAATAGAACAAATAATGTGCCTTACCTTTGAAAAGTTTGGTGACCATATTTTAATATGCCACATGGTGGAATTCTCCAGTGTTTTTTGACTTTTTCCCCTTGTCTCCTATTCCCCACATGAAGGCCTTCATGGAGTTCGAAATTCTAACAGTTTGGGCTGGATGGCAAGGGGATCAGAAACTGAAGGGTCAAAATTTCTAAGGAGGCACTGTGAAAACATTGTGTCCTTTATGCAATCTCAAGTCAAATGCCAGCTCCCCTTCTCTAGAGCTGGGCAGAAAGTGAGATACCTAGTGGATGTGCTATTCTGAGCCAGGGTTTCTTCCAGGAAAAAGCCCAATTTTTGGCCAAGAAGGAAAATGCTACTATGTTGAGTATCCCTCAGTTAGGGGCTTGCCATTAAGGCAGAGAACTGGCTCTCTAGAATGACATGTATCTTAAAGCTAAGAGGACCGGAGGAAGAGACCTTTGCTTTTTCTTACTTGCCACCAGCAACTAAATTAAGCCTTGGCGTTTTGGCCTGCTTAGGTTCATTTCTTATGTGTGTACTTTTTCCTGCATAGGCTTGGGTAGGTTTGGGGCAAAAGCTTTGTCTTTATATATAGTCTGTGTGAGGTGGGCTGATAGGAGTCCGTTTCTCCCTCATGAAGGTGGAGGTACCAGTGGTGGTGGGTGGGGGTGTGTGTGTGTGTGTGTGCACCCCCTGCATTCATGTACACAACTCTTCCATGTGCTCTTGGGGGTTCGGGTGAGGCAGGATTCATTTTTGTTTTTAATTACTAAAGTCCTACAATCCTCCAAAAGGAGCAGCTTAGTGGAAACCAATAAAAATAGAAGTAGAGCGGTTGCCAAAGCCCCAGCTCCCCGGAGAGCGCAGGTGGAGAGAGGAGATCAGAGCCCCAGGCAAAGGCAGCAAGACTCCACAGTTCCTCCAAAACTCCCCGCAAGAGGGATACTGCTCCCCCTCTTCAAGCCCCCCAGGTCGCTGCCCCTTTGATTAATGGTATGGAGGTCGAATAAATCATTTAGGAGAAGCCCATTATGGGTTCCCCTCAGGCGGCCTCGATTTGTTTTGCCCGATTTCCAGCAACTTTCCGAAATGTCCGTATTATTGGAAAGGAACCCACAGATCTCTAGCGCTTGGACAAATTATCAGAGGGCGAATCCGGAGCCTGGTGGTTGCCGGGCTCAGGTCACTTTCTAGCAACCACCCTGCCCCCCACCCCCCCCCCCCCTTCTACTGGCTTATTTTCAGGAATGGATAATGTTGTTTATTTGTTCAGCCAAATATTTGGTCTGGGGAATTTACCGTGAAATTCTGTGAATTGCATATACCTAGTTAACAAAATAGTCCTAATGCCACAAATGCTAGCATGAAAAACGAGCTACGGCCAGCTTTAACTCTTTAAATTCTGTTTGAAGGCACAGTCCTGAGGCCCGGGGGCATAAGGACTCCCAAATGTGTGTTGAATGTGTGTGGGGATGATTTAATTTAGGCTTCAGTGTTACATTTTTGGGAGTACTTTATGGAAGTTGTAGACTGATACTCGACATCGCTTTTGGATCAAGCCTGCCACTCCGCCCCCCCCCCCCCCCCGTTTCCCTTTCCCAGAGAAATGTTCCCTTCACTTGAAGAAAGATGGGGAGGGAGAATCGCTCTTGAGGAGTTCAGCAAAGTCGTAACCACATTAGAAGAGCTGCTGGGTCGATCCCTACCCAACCTTTAAACTGGAACCGGCTTCCTAGGAGCTTAAGAAAAAAGAGGGGAAGGGAGTAGGGGCCCGGAACACATCACACATTCCCCGGCTTTCGTTGCATAAGGCGCTCAGAACCTGCCAGGTGACCTGCTGACTTTGTTTTCTGTCTTGACCGTGCTTCATTCCACCACCCCCTTGCCGCCGGGCAGCACCACACTGAGAGGACTCTGGGCAGCCGCGGCGCTGGCAGACCCCAATAATCACCCGGCCTTGGACGCACGTCAAGATCCGGCCCGACAGGCCCCGCCCTGCGCCTGCTCCCGGAGCTCCCCCGGCCGCCGGCGGCGGCGGCGGCGGCGGCGGCGGCGGCGGCGGCGGCGGCGCCAGGGGGCGTCCTCCCCGCCGGGGACTAGACTGTGAGCCCGGCGGCCGCGCGGGACACGCTCGGCGGGCTGGCTCCTCCGCAGCCTCCTCCTATGCCGACTGCGGATTTCAGGTTCCCCCCGCCCTCCCCGCCCCCCCGCCACCCGAGCTGACCACCCGTCCGGCTCGTCCGCACTCTGGGCCCCGGGGCTCAGGTGAAACTCTCTGCAACGACAGATGGATCTGATTAGTGCGCGCGGGTCCTAAGGGCGGGTCCTCGGCACATTTAACGTGAAATGGGGTCAAGCGGCCGTGCAGAGCGGTGGAGTCTGGGGAAAAAGCTCACCCGGGTGGAAGGGTGGAGGGGCGTAAGAAGGGTCGAGATCTTTAGGCGTTGTCTGTGGGGGGCGGAAAGCAGACATGAGGGAGCAGCGAGGCTCTGCTTGCACAGAGCTCATAGTGGGTCTGCATCTTGGAGTGACAAACTGGGAGCGCGGGTGAGTGGAGAACAGACCCACTGACCGAGGGTCGGACATCAGGTCCCACTAGCTGCCCTCCCAGCCTCCTCGGGATGCACAGGGCCCTGGGGTCCGGCTGAATTGCCTCCATTACTCCCCATTGCAGTGAAGGAGAACAGAAGAGGCCAAGGGTGTGCAAGAATGGGTTGACCGATTTCTTTCAGAAATGAGATGCCAAGCCCATAATACTTGACAGCACCTCAGCTGACCTCCTCTGGGCCTTTGGGCCTCCCAGAGACGCACAGTGCCCATACCTTCACCCACGCCCCCAAAGGCCAGAGCTCAAAATGGTGACCCCTAAGATGAATCAAGGAAAATAAAACTTGAGGCGCAAGTCTCCAAACTCTTTGTGCTCCGTGATACTTTTGCTTCAAGACCCAGCAAATTGTATAAAATGTACACGCATTCTCTTTTTTTAAATGAAAAGAATACTACAAAAGCTACGCTGGTGACCTTACATTACCTGAGAAATCAGAAAGTTATTAGTATGCCCTGGAGGAATTTAGGATAACTGGGGGACTGCCAAAGTAGAATTGATGCAGAATTATTCAGGCACATTATCTGAGATAGACTAGCACCATTCTGAAAACTGGAAATACATTCAGAGTGGTTACAAATGTGGCCCCAGTGGCCCCATTTCCCCATGTTTTCAACATTTGGTGGCAGAATAAATACACGATTCAAAACTGCAGTGATTGCCCATGAAGCAAAGTGGCTGGTTTTAGGAAAAATCGTCAATTGCTCTAATATTTTTAAAAAAGTGGAAAATTTGAAAAATAAATAAAACTCAAGGTATGCAACATTTAGTTAAGCCTAGGAAAGGAAATCAGAGTATCTGCTCACTGAGGAAGCCACTTGAAATTAGAATTCATAAGTCACTTTACCTGAGGTATCAACTGAATCAAGTTCCAACTGTCTCTGTTTTTTCTCTCTTCAAAATAGTCTCTAAGAACCCTGAGTGAAAATATAAATGCTGTTATGTTGTTCAGAACTATTCAGAAAATATAATACTATAGGATTCATTACTACAGAAATATTTACTTCAAAAATGTGAAATTTGAGGAACAGAAGACAAGATGGAACAATAATTTGCTGAGTTTTGTTACTAATGAGAATTTCTTAAGCCCGGATTTCAGTTGGTTTTGCCACAGTTTCTGAAGAAAAGATCTCATTGATCTCTCTTGACCTTTTATAACTTGGTTTCTAATGGAAATATTTAAAAATGACAAGCCGCCCTCCCCCCCATCGTAAGTCCTTGAATCCCCTTTTGCCAGGGTGCAAAGAGATTCTGGTTTTGCATAGTTTCATTGTCAGTACCTCAGCAATATGTTTTTTCAGTTTTATTAACTGAATCCATGGCCAGCAGATAATTTTCCTTAGGATCCACAGCATACTGACTGAGAGTTTAAAATACTGGATTCTATTCTCACTCCTGACATTGTTTCTCTGTCCCTCTGGTACCAGCAACTGACTCCATCCTGTGCATAGTTGCCCATAATTCAGTTGAGAAAATGTATAACTCTGTTCATCTTAAGCTTTATGCTGATTTAATTTTTAATCCTTGTCATTTGTTTTCAAAGCAGTTTTTATTAAGGTAGGACCCAGGGTAAGAGTCCAAAGATAGGCACTTTGGGGGGAGGGGGGAGGGAGAGGAAGAGAGAGGGAAAGAAAATTTCTAATTGAATTCAATTTGGCTTAGACTTACATTGATTATCCTGAAAAATAATATAGTGCTGTTTTT